TTGTGTAGCTATTGTTGCCATCCTAGGCTTCTCTCATGAAATCTGATGGGCTGTATCTCTGAAAAATGGAGCTGTTCCTCAGAGACAGGTGTGGAACCAATGGGGTGGTAATTGCAGGGCATCAGTTTTGGGCTGAATATCAAGAGTAAGCAAGAGAACCAGTTACTTCTGTTGTTCATCAAGAAAACAGACTAGTTCAGGCAGTGTTGGCGTCTCCATAACCGGGGGTGTCAAAGCCAAAGTTGGACAGCCTTATATCCAGGCTGCTTTTGCATCCTGCATTGCAGACCCTGAACTGAACAGAGGCTTAAAGAGTAGTTGACCTCCAACAAGGTTCCTTCCAGCTCTATAATGCTACAGCATTTCTTTCCCTCTGTAAAAAGTTGCCGGAGTGATATTTGTCTGCTCCTCTTGCCTTGGTGATGGCAACTCTTCACAATAATTGGCATTTATTCTAAATTATTCTTGCCTCTGACACTGCTCTGTGTGCAAAAATGAATCAGTGCCTACAAGGTCACAATCTCCTTTGAATTCAACAGCCCCTCACTAGTCAGTGCAGATAGGGTGGTTGTTGTTTTTAACTCTGAAATCTGAGAAAAATACTTTCTTCCAATAGCATGGCACTTGAGTGCCATCTAGTGGGACTCACAGATTTTTTAAATTTCTTGGAATTCCTATACCACTTTCCTAGTTAAAAAGTACAGATGAGGTGGTCTGTTGTGATTGTTTCTAACTCAGCAAATTCCTGTTGTCAGATTATTTTACTACATGGTGGCAATGTATTGGCAAAATACACCCTACCGAATCTTGACAAAATTACTCTTTTGGACTGCAGTTTCCAGAATCCTCCAACCAGTGTTCTACTGGTGATGCAGGCTGGAGGATTCTTGGAGCTGTAACCCCCAAAATAATTTTCCAAGTTTTGCTTTATATTGTCAAGAGAGAACTGTGAGTAACCCCCCGTTTTCTGATAATTCCTTATGCCAGCATGTATATTTCAGACATTTTTTCGGTGTACAATTGTTTGTTTGTCAGATTTAGAAAAGCACACCCTTTGCCTAGAAGGTGCTTAGGGTGATGTACAATTTTTTAAATTGTGTATATTTTCCAAAAACAAAGGAACAAAATAATAGAACCATAAACACAAATGTTGGT